CCGTTTCAAGTTATAAGACTTTCTAGCATTGACCATATTCATATAGATGTTAATGAATCTAGACACACATATAAATCTTATAATATGAAATGGAGGAAGTATTATAAATATAAAAAAAATGAAGCCCAGAAGTAATTGCAAACATATTAAGTTAATTTTACCTGATTCTCTAATCCAATCTTGAAGGCATACAAGTGCTTTAGTTGTTTCCGGAGTCAACTGGCTTCGAAATTCAGATACTAATCTTGATCCAGTGCTAAACACAGACTCTAAAGATACTGTTGAAGCAGGAATTGTTAAAATATCTTGAGCCATGCGACCAAGTACTGGAAACTCAATAGAGTTTGCCTGCCACCATTTTGAGATATCAAAGGGTTCACAATGAGGGAGTGGATGCTTTTGACAGATAAGTTTTTAATTCTGATGATGGCACAATCCTTGGTTGGGCAGCGAGCCTCACGTGTTGATTCCAATTGGCCAATTCATCACAACTACCTATATCCATCCCAACATCACCACTCCCTTGCTGAGTAGATGTCATGCCCAGAAATTCCCGAATAGAATTTCAAGCAGAATGTGCATTAAAATCCCCGTCCAGGACCGGCCGGGGTATACAAACGACAATGTTGACATTCAGATCCACGTCTTACAAACATCATAAAAGTCTTACAAAAATGCAGCGTAAAACAAAGATAACTGGACCTAAGCCTTGACTTGATCTGCAGCGGGAACACCGCTCCACAGGCATCCTCGACGGCATGGACGAAGCCTACTCCTCGGAGAAACCACCATCTGACACATACTCATACTCTGGAATTGGGGGAAAATAGAGCAAGACTGAGTACTACCCACTGTACTCAGCAAGTCATACCGGGATAGTGGTATGATGCAGGGATTTATCAAGGGATAGCTATAAAGGTTCATTTGCGTAATACTGGCATTTATAAACAGAGGTTGAAAGCGGAAAAACAGTTGTAATAATTAATCAATATTAACCATCCACTGTCCAACGCTATACCACGTTGCAATAGGCCCAACCATCCACCTATACTATCCAATTTCATTAGACTAAACTAGGATGAGACTAATCACGGTGAATCTGGTTGACCGCCCATAACCACGGGCACGGCTATTCGAATAGTTTTACTCTGATCAGAGGTGTACAATTGTACCCACAAGACACAGCCCCACGACACGTTTCCGTGCGCCGACATGCCACCACGACATACCGGAAAGAGGCCGTGACAGGACCCTTCGCGTAACCCCCTCTAGCCAAGCACACCACACCTCAGGTTTCACCCCCACTCCTCGCAAGGCAGCGGGCAGTCCCCTCTCGTGCCTAGGTGAATCCGGAAGCGACAGAGGCCGTCGCAGGGCCCGCCCCGCTCCATCACGCCCACCCTTGCCTGGATGCATCAGTTAGAGGAAAGCTACACTACAAGCCCAGCCGTTGCCCACGCTGGCTTGTGGTAAGCACGATAAATTCTTCCAGGGTTTCCCACGAACCGGTCCTTAATTGCCATGGGTGCGACTAGCAAAACCATGCACCCATAGCCCACCATGTGATTCATTTTAATTAATCAACACCAAAGCGGTGGTACTAATCCAACATCACCATTAGAACCTGCAGTCTATACTTTAATAGGATTTTTCCCCAATGTGTGCTAGTTGAACTAAGCATGGCTAAGCAATTCCTAGTCCAAAGTCTATTCATGTTATAACCCAAGCTAACAAGGAGCATGGTACCAAAATAGCATGGCTGTAACAATAGGTAAACATCCCATAGTATTATTGCAAAACGATGCAGTATTTGAAGGAAAACATTAGAACATTTGCAATATAGGATCAACATGATCAAGTGACAGGCATGACTTGCCTTGCTCTGCTGCTGGAGGAACCTCGGTGACTATCTCGAAGTACACCGGAGCGTCGGAAGAGCCGGAATCTAAGCGACATACAAGGCAAACAATGCAAACAGGCTATAAGACTACTGAAACAGAGAACAAAACCATTTTTAATGGATTCTACACATTTTTCTTGATTTACTGAGACTTGAATGAGCTTAAACGGAGCACGGATGAATTAGTTATGAATTTTAGAAGATTCACTGTTTTATTACTATAACAAAAAGTCCTTAAATCATTTATTGCGCGATAAATCCCAGGGCTGACGTCATCAAAGGGGGGGTGGCGCCGACAGGCGGGGCCCGCATGTCAGTGGCGCACGGGTGGCTGGTCTACCGTCGACCGGGACCACGCGGGTGGTCCACCGCCGGTCCACGGGATCGACGGCCCAGATCGGCCCGGAGCCGATCGGACGGTGCGGCGGCGGCTTGGCTCGGCTCGGCTCGGCACAAAGCCGGTCGACCGGTCATGGCAAAGGCGGCGGCGCGCGCGCGTGTTGCCGGCGACGGCAACCGGCGACTGGGGTGGCGGCGCAAAGGCGGCGGCACACGACCGGGGCAGTGGCTCGACCCGGCGCGGCTAGGAGGGAGAGGGAGGGGAATAGAGGAGGGGGATGCCTCACCGAGAGTGGCCGGCGCGGAGGGGGACGACGGCGAACGGCGACGGCGAGCCACGGGAGGATAGCGGCGACGGGCGGACGAGCTCCGGGATGCCCTAAGAGAGGAAAAGAGAGAGATTAGGGGGAGGGAGATGAACCACGGCGATCGGAAACCACGGCCAAAGGCGGCGGTGGAGGTGGTGCTCACCGGAGTGCGAGGGGATGAGGGCTCCGGCGACGAACCTCGACGGAGGAGGTGCGGACGGGGTGGACCTCGGCCGCGCGAACCCAACGGCGGCGACGGCGCGGTGCGGCGGCGAGTCTAGTGGCGGCTAGAGGCGGCCGGAGTAGCAGGAGAGACGGCGGCGGATGGGCGCACGGCGCGGGAGCAATGGAGGGCACGGGAGAGAGCGGTGGAAAAAGGAAAAAGGTGGAGGGGAGTGCGGGGATGCTTTATAGGGGCTCGGGAGAGACGGACGTGGCCGGGGCACTCCCGATTTCGCCAGCGACATGGGAGGTTGGAGGTGGGGAGAGAGAGAGAGAGAGCGGCGGGATTCAAATTTGAATCCCGGCCATCTTGGTTGAGGGCGCGGCGAGAGAGAGGGGGAGTGGGTGCGGGAGGCGCGGCGCACGCACAGGCGTGGCCGACGTGGACCGGAGGAGGTGGGGTGCGACGGTTTCGGCGACGGTGGTGACGTGGGCGGGCGGCCGGAGGTTGGGGAAGGGCCCGACAGGTGGGCCCCACCTGTCGGCGACCCCGGGGAGAGGAGGGAGGCGGCCGGCCTGGCTGGGCCTCGGCCTGCGGCCGGCCTAACGGGAGAAGGGGGAGAGGGAGGGAATGGGCCGGCGGCCCATTCGAAAAAGAAAAAGGGAAAAAGAAAAGGAAGAGAGAAAAAAAAGAAGAAAAGGATTTCCTGAAATTAAATATTGCTTGTACTCATTTTTAATTGGTTAAAATTATTTCGAGGGCTCTGAAAATTCCACTAAAAATCTTGTTAGCGTATTTCGACATGTAGAACTCAAGAAAAAAATTCCACATGCCAAATCCGATTATTATTTGCATTAATTTATTAGGGTTTTCTCTTGCTTTGACACCAATATTTTCTCGGGTGGATTATAAATTCCATTTCAGGCTTGGGAAAGAACTTCAGGGTGTGACAGTAGACTTGGTTGATCGTTTAGCATATTCATTGAACAGGCCCACCAAGGTTGTCTTCAATCTTTCAAGCCTAGGTTTGGCACGACTTCCAAAGGCAGGGTCAAACAGGGACAGACAACTATAGGATAAGACAACCAGCACCTAATTCAGCAGCTCGCGATGCCCCTTATGTCAGTCTGTTAGCCTCCTTGCTGTTCTTTCTGCAGTAAAGCACACAAATCCATCCAGTAGGATATGTTAAGAGATTTCATATGAAGGGTCTGTTGGACAATTATACTGGAAGCAGCCAATGTATTATGGGTTTTCTTAATAAATCCATGACAAATTCCACCAATCAGGTCATGATCATACTACATAACATAACACATGCAGCTATAGTCTCCCAGACTGTAGAAACAACATTCTATTCAGGCCATTAGGCGATAGTTTATTTTTTCATTGAATTTATCCAGAAATTTGCTATTTCCACAACATAGTAGATGATAGATAACATATTCAGAAAACAATTTCTCAGTATCCGCAATGGCTCTCAGAAATAAACATAAAGCAGCATGTGAAGAAACCAATTTCATAATGTCCATCTGTTGACCTTTACGAAAGATGATAAAAGCCAGTGTGGAAAAGGTGCAGTTGAGTAAAGCATAAAAAAAACATCGAAGAGCATATCAGTAAGCCATTTTTTCCCCCAACATGTTCAGTATCAGGAAATTTTACCATCGATGTGAGGATAGTGTATGCTATGAGCATTCAAGCAAGCAATTTCAGTGACAGAAATTTGCCATCTGCAATGTTTGCTGCAATATAAAAATTTGAATCGCTGGAAATTCCAAACAAAATGCATCCCCTAATATGATGTCAATATCACAAAAGCATCCACTAAATCCCTAATCAATGTATAACATTGTTCTTTGATTCATTCTATTGTGCCGGAGAACTATGTGCATAGTTTTTGCTAATGTGCATGGGAGATGATCTTATATCATGTGAATAAATCAACATTTTGACTTAACCTCACGAGTTTAGTATGGCAATGCGGCTGATTGCTCTGTACATTCCACTGATATATTGAACTCTTTCCGTCATATTCAATATATTTGGTTTCAATGTCAAATCAAACCTAAAGCAATGAAATGGAAAAATCCTCTGGCACTTCCATAGAAAACAAAAGGGATATCCTCTTGTACGTACCTGAAAAAGCAGCAGTGCAGGAACATCAAACTTTCTGGATAATTACTTGCAGAATCTGATTTTGAGTAAACAGGGAATACAGATCAATTCCCATAAACAAACAGGGTGCTTGCGTTCTTGAAACTGATTAAAGACAAAAAAAAAAAGAATCTAAGGGATGGATAAGTCTTCTAAATCTTATCAGAAATTACATGAGTCTACAAAATTTGCGATACCCTCAATTATACAGTTGATGCCACTAACACATCATTTCTCCAACATATATAATAGTAAATAGTACATAAAAACCCAACAAATACAGACAGCTCTACGGCATACTGGCATACAGAAGAGAGAATCAAACATATATAGAGGAAAACACATTTAATACCTAAAAGAGGATCCCACTGAAACAACAAAACAAATATTGATATAACTTATGAACATGATGATAGCAACACGAAGGGGAATGGATGGTTAGCCATTTTCTCCAACACACAGCATTACTAAAGGAATTTCATAAGGAAATTCCTGCAATCTAAACGATTTTTGTGGGAATTCCATAAAGAAAGCCCCACATCCAGACACTTATTCAAAAAGGAGAGCTTCACTGCTGCTTAAGGAAGGGTCTCCTAGAACAAAACCAGGAATGTGGCATCCAGTTGGTCATGTCTTCCTTCAGCTCTTCCGGGTATGGAATTTCTTCCAAAACATCTGGTTGTTCCAAATGGAACACAGATATCCAATGCTGCTGCTTGTAATTTTTATCTGCATAGTAGACACAATTTCTCTTGATCGCAGGAAACTCCTTAGCAGAAAGTGAAAATGTGTCACCTCGGCCCACAAACAGCGAGTGATCACCAAGGTCCATCACCCTCTCGCCAAGCCCCAACTGGTGGTTCCCCTTCCACTCAGGCTTGTAGATTTCAGCCAGTGATGGGTGGCCTCCCCAGCGCAACACCACGAGCAACACCTCGCCATCGCAGGCTACCAGATGCACCCCACGCTCCGGATGAAACTTGTCACAACTGCAGAGCATGGACACCGATGTGCGAACATGGAAGAATTGAGTGCACTTTGCACCGCTAGCTCCGTCGGCGTCGAGATCGCAGACAACAATGTTGCTCATGATGTCAATGTAGTACACCTTCCCTCCGTGGAACACGACGCTGCCGATCTCGGATGTGCCATGCTCGAACAGCATAGTCCAGGCGGCGTCCCCGCGGCGGCAGACGAGGGTCTTCTGCCCTTCTCGGCCTTTGAGCTGGGAGACCATGGCGACCCAGCCCGGCGAGGCGAGCGGGTCGCCGGAGAGGGAGACCCTGGTGATGGGGCTCAGGCACGGGAGCGGGATCTCGGCGCCGGAGAGGGGCTCCCACAGCGCGAGCCGCGTGGGGGACCGGGCGTCGTCGGTCAGGGCGAGCCACCCGCGCGACGCGCCGCAGCAGTGGCGGAGGCCCGGCGGGGCGCGGCGGAGGCCGGCGTCCATCCTCTCCGCGCCGCCGCCCGGGAGGCGGAGGGAGTAGTCGCCGATTGTTACCAGCCCACGCTGCAGCGCGCGGCCGGCGACGACCCATGGGCGGCAGGCGGAGACGGGGAGGGTGGCGGCTCGCCAGTGGGTGCAGACCTGGTGGATGTGGAGGTGGTCGGCGTCGGAGTACAGCCGGCCGGAGACCTCCCGGAGGAGATCGGCGGGGAGGGAGGACCAGCCGCCGCCGGCCATCGCGTAGGGTTTTTCCTCTCTAGGCGAAAAAAATATTACGACTTTATGTTTGGGAAATTTTCGGTAATGAACTCCTAAAATTGAACGGACAGATGCTGTACGTTATTAAAAAAAACTCTTTGCTAAACTCTTACTAAGAAAAAAAAACCCTTCCCTAAAAAAATTATACCATTGGATATAAGAGCATCACCAAGAGAATAGCTAAATCTCATCCTAAAAATCTGATAATGGGAATCCTAAAAAGAATTTGAGGTGTGAAAATAGTTCTTTCTCCAAGATATTAGGTAAAATAAAATCCCTAAAATAAAAAATGGGTCCATACAAAACTACCATCAGGAATTAGTTTTTCCTCGTCTCGCATCGTTCTCCCTTGTACGCCGCTCGGCATCAGCAGAAGTTAAATAAAAGTATAGAATCAATCACATTGACTATTGATTTAATCAGCTACATAAACACTAAAATTGCAATGCTTTTGTACTCCTAAACATCGTAAGTTTTTTACTTGCAACGAAGAACAGGAAAAAATGAAAAAAAAAGGGGGGGACACCCGCTTGCTGCGCCCGCAGAGGTCGTGAGCCCACGATGGCGATCATAATGAGTGTGCGAAATGGCCGCAGGAGGGCGATTGGGAGCGAGGGTGGCCACCTACTTCTAGGGAGCGAGGACACCGGAGATGGGAAAAAAATTCTCTGGGGCGGAGCCCCAATCCTCAGCGCGTGAGGCACCATCCTAGATGGGTGCCACCTGTATTCTCACCAATCTTGAAGCACCGGAAAAAAGTAAAGCAATTTGGATTTTTTTAATTAGCGTATACGCTCCGTATTCCAGTGGTGCCCTACGAATTTGTATCGTATTCTCTGCCCTAATCACGTCGTTAGCGTTCCTCGTTCCTTGGAGCCGTAATCCAGCTATTCGCCCTCCCGTTCCGGCCATCGCCGCACGTGTAGTTCGCCGCCCTTCCACCGTCGCCGTGGCTATCGCCGTCGCCGTCGTAGTCAATGCAGATGAATCCCCGCGGCGGCACATTCGCCGGTGCTGCCTCCTGCCCATCCGCCGGCGGTGACGATCCTCCGAGGCTCCTGATCAACCATGGACCGATCAACAATGCATGGCAGCCCATTTACAAGACACGAAGCTCCAAAGAAAAATATACTAGAAAGAAATAATGTGTTTGAGTATATCGAATCACTACAAATTGCTTCTAGGAAGAAATAAAGGTTGCAATAGCTTACAAATTAGAAAATAATTCATATTATTGTTTTCTACTTATATGATAAGTACAATGTCTACTTAGGAATCACAGCTCCTTCAAAATCTAATCTCCAATTCATTGAGCATCAACGAATGCGCCATCGTCGAGAATGTCGATGCCATATGGTTGTGGTCAAGGTTATGCTGGCAGTTGCATTCATCGATATCGTGGTGTTTGTGGTGGGCGGCCTCGGAGGATCGTCACCACCGGCGGATAGGCAGGCAGCAGCACCGGCGAAGGCGCCGCCACGGGGATTCATCTACATTGACAGCAACAGTGATGACGACGGCGACGGCCACAGCGATGGCGACGGCGGAAGGGCGGCGAACTACACGCGCGGCGATGGCCGGAACGGAAGGGCGAATAGCTGGATTACGGCTCCGAGGAACGAAGAACGCTAACGACGTGATTAGGGTAGAGAATACAATACAAGTTCGTAGGGCACCACTGGAATACGGAGGGTATACGCTAAGAAAAAAAATCCAAATTGCTTTACTTTTTTCCGGTGCTTCAAGATTTGTGAGAATACAGGTGGCACTCATCTAGGATGGTGCCTCACGCACTGAGGATTGGGGCTCTGCCCCAGAGAATTTTTTTCCCCCGGAGATGGGAATCAGGATTTTGGGTTTCTTGTATAAGGCTACTGTTGGACCGTGTTTTTTTTAAAACTCAAAAAAAATCTTGATTGAGAACCATTCTCATATGCGGTTAGGCATGCTCTAAGTAGTGAGTAATAATAATAATAAAAAGATTTAAGTATAGTGCGCTACATCGATTTTTATAAGCGGATTTACTATATGACGTTCGATAGAAAATTAAGAGAAAATATTTCTCTTTTTTTTCAAGATTTGTGCTAGGTAGGAGAAGAAAAAAACCATTGGAAGAGCTAAGATTCGAACCGAAAACAAGATAATTAACATTTTTGGTTGTTAGATGTGCGCCAAGAGATTCATATTATATGGGAGAAAAAGAGCATATCTTTGACCGAAGTCAATCACACAACCTCGATTTGCTTAATTGCCCCTCTTCCTTTGTGGCACGGACTAGAGATAGAGCTTTGGAGCTGATAATCTTTAGAGGTTTTAAGGATTAAGAGGAGTGAACGGCAGACCGATTGTTGTAGCCATATTCCTCTACGACCTTTTATCAACAAACAAACAAACAAACTGACGAGTGTGGATTTTGGATCCGCTGAAGGCGCGGGCGCGCGGCCTTTCTTCTTCCTAACAAACCGCTGATAGCTAGTAGGAAATGAAGCCGCAGTAGCCTTTAAGCCACGTCAGTCTTTCTTCTTCCTCACATCGCTACTCTATCATGCATGTTGGAAACTAGCATCCCATCTCATGCATGTTGGAATCTGTTGCAACTAAAACTAGTCGGTGTTGAGTTGGGAGATCGAGTATGGCGGCGGAGGAGGATTGGGCCTCCCTGGAGCAAGGCCTCCTCCACGACATCTTCCTCCGCCTCGACGATGACGCCAACGCCGCGCGCTTCCGTGCCGTGTGCAGCCAATGGCGCGCCGCCGCCGCCGGCGCGGGCGTGGTCTTCGTCCCCCGTCCCTGGCTCGCCGTGTACGCGCCCGAGCAGCGCCGCCACGCCTGGCTCCGGCCGTCGCGTCGCCGTCGACGGGGGAGGCGCCGCTTCAAGAGAGTTGACGATGGGGAGGTGTCGCTGCGGCCGGAACGCGGTGGCAGCCCCGCCCCCGCCGCCGTCTCGCTCGTCAGCGTCTCGCGAGGCTGGGTCGCCATGAAGCACGGCGAGAGCCACCTGGTCAGGGCCGTCTCCGGCGACGAGGTCCCGCTTCCTCCGTGCGGCTCCAGGTACGAGCTGAGCGAGGTCCCGCTTCCTCCGTGCGGCTCCAGGTACGAGCTGAGGTACGAGCTGAGCAAGGTGATCCTCCCCGACGACCCGCTCGCCGCCGCCGCCTCCGGCGAGTGGACGGCGTTCGCCTTCATGTCCCATCACCAGCAAATCCTGTGGCCGCACACGCGGCGGGTCGCCTTCTGCCATGCCGGCGACGACGAGTGGACCTTCCTCGACAAGGCCATCCAGGCGCAGCGATACAGAGGGCTCGAGTTCTTCCGCGGCGGAGCCTACGTGCTCCTCTCCAACCTCACGGTCGCCGTCGGCGACGTCGTCTCACGGATGCTGATCGCCACCAGCGTAGGCCTCTCCGGCGCCTACCGGTGGCGGCATGACGAGCTACTCGAGGCCACATGCCTGGTGCGCTGCGGCGACGACCTCCTGTTCGTCCAGGTGTCGCGGCAAGTCGTACCCAGGAGGTCGTGCTTCCCTCTCCTCGCCGGCGGCCGCCACCGGCGCCGGCGGCTCCGCTTCACCAGCAGAGTGTACAAGCTGGAGTTCGCGGCGGACGGCAGCGGCGTGCCGGTGGGGTTCACCAAGGTGGAGAGCATCGGGGAGTACGCGCTGTTCGTGTCGCGGCGCAGCCACGCGTTCGCGCTCCCGGCTAGCGGAGCGGCTTCCCCGGCGTCGAGCCGAATCGCATCTACCACTTGGTCAGATTACGCGGCGAGGTCGTCGTCTGCGCACCGTGGGAGACTCGCCGTCTCAAGCCCGTGCCATTGGACGATCTTCCTGAGCCCCGGACACAGTGGTTTCCATCGCATTGGTTTTGCCCTCGCCGGCCAGTAATTCAGAGCACAGCGGCGGCGGCCGGCGCGCAGGCGGCGCCGCCCACCATGGACAACGCAGTCGCGGACGATGCATTAGTCGATAACTAAAATTTTCAGATATGTTTCATTAGATTTTAGCCTTAAGGCATTCTTGTTTCAAATTTGAAGCCCGCTTACTAATGTACTTCTAGGTTAATTAGAGATAAGTTCTAGTAGTACTTTTTTCTCACACTCGAAAAGTTATCCGGAGCTGGGATCGGGCAATCCTATCCTGGTTGGTTTACTTGTCTCATGAACCGAACTTAACTTAATTTTCCTCACTAACCATGTCCATGTATATTGCATTTGGGAGGTACTCCGTATAAAAAACGTGTAGGGCAACTTAAAAAATCAGAATCCATCGTCTAAAACTAGGATCGAATTATAGAAGATGGTTTCTAACCACTTGGGTGGATGTCCACTCATTTATTACATGTCAACTAAATGGCTATAATAAAAAAATTGACAAGTAGATTAATATGTAATATATCACTTAACTGCATTTGTAGAAGCCCATCATTTGGCATATTCATGAAATAAGCTCAACAACATATTTACAAATGAAAAAAAATTGTTAATAAAACTTTTATATACATGCTCCTAGCGATCTAAAAGTAAAGGTTAAAAATAAACTTTGATTAAAAAACCCAAAATCAGCTTCAAATTTAAGATTGAAAATTTAAATTTTGGCTGATAAATATAAGCATAAACGAAAAGATAATGCCATAAACTCTCATTAAAAATAAGCCTAATATAAATATAAGGTACTTAATCCAATCATGACCCGGCTAGTTACACGAACATTGCGTCAAAAAAGAAAGAAAAAAGGTTACACCAACGCGTGAATAACTAGCTAGTATTTGGGGAAGAACCAACCACGGCGAGCCCAACCTGCCGACTGTGCGTCTCGGCGGCCGTCGTCGGGGGGGAAAATGGTCTCATCACGGCGAGCATAGTTCCTCGCTACGACGGCCGCCTCCTCGGGCTCCCACCGTTCGTCCGCGTTCATGTCGAACACCCTGACGCGTCCGTCGGGGTGGCCCTGCTGGTCGACGAGGTAGACGCAGTTGGCTCGGCACGACGGGAACTCCTCCGGCGAGAGCGCGAACGCGTGGTTCCGGCCGAGGAAGAGGGCGCGGGAACGGAGGTCCTCCTGCCGCACCAGCCGCACCGCGCCGCCGGCCACCCACTCCACCCTGAGCACCTCGACCACGCGCCCGTCGCCGCTGTCGCTGCTGCTGCTGCTGCTACCGTCGTGGTCGTCGTCGTCGCCGAAGATTGTGGTGTCCTCTGGGTTGCGCTCCAGGTTGTCGTGCACCGACACGAGCAGCAGCTCGCCGTCGCACTCCACGAGGTGGGTCTCGACGACTCTCCTGCCGGTGTCGACGTTCTCGCCGCCGCCGTCGTCGTCGTCGATTAATTGCTCGAGCGGGATGACCGCGGGGACGGTCGCCTCGACGTCGCAGACACAGAGCTGCGACTTGAAGGCGACGTAGAACCGCCCCCTGAAATGCTCGACGCCGGCGTAACCGGCCGCGCTGAAGCCGAGCGGCGTCCACGCTCCGGCGGCGGAGCTGTAGTACGCGAGGCAGTTGGTCGGGAACCCGACGGCCACGGCGGCCCACTCGTCGGCGGTGTCCGGGTCAGCCGACAGCACGACGGTCGCCACGTCATGCCACCTCTTGAAGAACCCGATCGGCGGCAGCCGGATGCGCCGGCCGGTGACGGGGTTGACGAGGGCGACCGCCTTGGGAGTCGCCATAGGGTCGGACAGCGCGAGGTACCCATGCGACGACGACGACAGGAACTCCAGCCCCGCGGGCACGGCGGCGGCGAACGGGACAAGGCCGCCGCCGCCGCGGCTGCGGCGGGAGAGCCAGAACGACGACATGGCGGCGCCCCGGCCGAAGCGGTCGGTGCGTGACCCGACGAACCAGGGGCGCGGGCGCCACGACGCGGCCGCGGCGCCCCACCCCGCGCACACGGCGCGGAAGCGGGCGCGGTCGGCGTCGCGGGGGAGGCGCGCGAACACGGCGAGCAGGAGATCCGCCGGGAGCGACGACCAATCCATTCTACTAGTGCGGCTCATGCTGAACGGCTGATCCGATCGAGACCGCGATGCCAATCAACCATTCATGGCCTGCTTTATATACACTCATGAACCCATCGTTTGACTTTGCCCTGTTTACATCCCATCCCAAAACTTTACATTCTATCATATCAAACGTTTGAACATCTGAAGTATTACATATAGGCTAAAAAAATAACTAATTGTATAGGTTGTGACTAATTTGCGAGACGAATTTTTTAAGCCTAATTGCTCCATAATTTGACAATATGGTGCTACAGTAAACATTTGCTAATGACGGATTAATTAGGGTTAATAAATTCATCTTGCGGTTTACCGATGGATTGCATAATTAGTTTTTATTAGTGTCCGAACACTTTATTCGATACCCTATAAAATACCCGATGTGACACGCCAAAACTTTACACCCCTGAATCTAAACACTCCCTTATTCAGGAAATAAACCAGATGGCATATTTGTAAAAAAAAATGATTTGTGAATAAAATTTTTTATGTACGTGTTTTTAACGATCTAAAAGAATTGGCGAAAAAATAAATATCGATAAAAGCCTTAAAATTAACTTCAAATTTAAAAATTTAGATTTTGGCTGATAAGTATATGCACAAGTGAAAAAATTAGTCTCAGATATATTGCCTACCTTGTAAGAAAGGAATGTGTGGACGGAATAGAATGGTGGGGTGGGTGGAGTAGTGGGGTTTATTTGGTCGTTGACTACTAGGAGTAGTCATTGCGCGATCGATTCATCCTGCATGGAAATTTCATGGAATGTACCTACGTTGCAGTCATGTGTCTCATGTGGTTATTTCTTTTTGACATTGTGCCGTGTACGAATGATTTATTATGCATGGGGAGGGATTATTTTATCTAGATTACGATGTTCTGGGCAATTTCAAGGTCGGCGTCGACTCGGCGGATTCCAGGCTTCATGCATTGTGGGACGCGGAGATTGCGTCGACAAACCTTGATCTGTTCTCCAAATTGGCACGCAGTACTACGAAATCAGGAAATCTTGCATTGTGCAGCCTAGACCACCGGCGGACGGGATTAACGTGCGGGTTGGAGGCGCACCTGAAATTTTTACAATTTGGTCCTTTTTAAAAACTTATTTTACAAATAGACCTCTGAGAAAACTTAAACCGGAAATGGTTCTTTTTGGGGTGCCAGAGTGGCTGGCGCCGTACCCCAACATAGCGGCGCCAGCCACACTGGCGCCGTGCCCGTGCCACCGTGGCACTAGGGCTGTCGTGGAGGTGCTGACTGGGCAGAAAGGGGGCGCCAGCCACACTGGCGCCGCCCCTCATACCACGGCGCCAGCATAGCTGGCGCGCCCCTCCTCTGTGGGCCGACCCTTAAACCCCGTGGGCCCCACCACCTTTCTCCTCCCCACTCCCATTTTCGCCATTCCCAGCCCGAGCAGCGAGCTGCTGTTCTTCTCCCTCTCTCTCCCCCTCACCTCTCCACCTCAAATCCACTCAATTTGAAGCCGTTTTTCGCGGGATTTTTTGTGGAAATCGAAGAGAAAGGTAGACTCCTTCATTCCCCCCTCTTTTTTTTCGTTTTTATTGGTTGAATTTGTAGATCGGTGGGTAACCCTAGAACCCCTTTTTTACCCAAATTTGTGATTTTTAGCATTTGTTCTTAGGATTGGCTTGTTGTAGTGCTACATGTTTGCAATGTACTCATTGGTGTCATGATTTTTTTAACCATATATGTGGTAATGTTAATTTTTGGATGGTTTGGTTGGATGGATGGATGAAAAATTATGGTTGAGGCATGACGGAGGTTTGGGTTGTATGATAGAGTATTTGTAATATTTCGATGTGTAATGCAGTAGTAAACTTGTTGATAGTTGTAGGTGGATTAAATATTTTTTTGGAGTAGTAGCTTTGGGACAATTTAAGTTATGCATTGGTTATAATATGTCGGTTTGGACTACGTTTAGGAATGAAGATTTAATTTTTGTTGCAAAGTTACATTTGATTTTTTGGTGTAGATGGATAGACTTGTTCGTGTTTACTACGGTGGTAGAGTGGTGGAACCTTATGTTGGTGGACATGTTGAGTTTGAGGATATGTCATTGAAGACCATTTTGTTTCCCACCCACCCAACTCTAGATGAACTAAGGTCACGAGTGAAAGAAGTTCTTGGATGGACCAAGGATAATGTGGAGATTCGTTTTTATGGGAGATACGATGTTGGTCAAGGGCATAAGTATATATTAAATGTGATAGGTCAGTTGGAATGGGAAGTTTACTTTGATTTGGTAAAATAGTCAGTTTAGATCTCTAGAGGTGTTTGCATCAAAGTTAGTTCGTACCGTAGAAAATTTGGATCTAAACAAATCTCCTTCTTATCATTACGTTGAGAAGAATTTTGTGACATATTATTCTCATCGTGGAGGGGGTGCAAGTAAGAGTGAGGCCTGTTGTCGTCAGGCACCATCATCCAACATGAGTGGTTGTGTGCTATTGATTCAGATGTGGATGTGGTTAAGACTACCGGTTGGAAGGCCTAAGTGGAGGCAAAGCTTCACTCCTTGGCCCTACAATGAGCCAGACATGGAGAAGACAGTGGCCTACCTTTTTGAGAGTACTGCCACTACACATGCTCACCGGGATGTGGCATACAAGCATTATGTCAATGAGATGGACTGCTTGCAGCCTCAACATGTAAGTACTTTCAATATCACTTCTAGTTAGACATTTACTTCTTTAATTGAGATACTAACCAACGACATCTCTTCAACTTTTGCAGATTGAGTGGTTACCATACCACACAAATGAGGCTTCAAGCCTGACCCTGAACTCGATGTGCAATCGAGACTCTGACTATTTCATGTACCAGTGCCCATTGATTTGTTTCTGGGCAGTTCAGTACCACCTTCCGCACCGTGTCATGCGACAGTTCGGGAAGAAACAAGATTGGCCAGTTGAGGACATCTCAACTGGAGTTGAATTACACAAGTAAATATTTCTTATCTTTGTTTGCTTTCATTGTCAATGTTCAATTTTGTACCATTTAACCCTTGTCGATGCTCACTATTGTTTCATCACCTTCTACTTGTCTAGGTATGACAGGGTGAGAACAAAGAAGGTGAAAGACTGGGGGCTAGAGCATAATAGATACATTGATGAATGGAGAACAGCCGGAAGGAACGATAGGTACATCGAGACTATACACCAAAATCATCTTTTCTCAGAGTACCTTCGTTGGCTGCATAGGACATATAGACTGTTCCTCCGCCCTACTTGGACGGAAGCCGACAAAGAGGATGACCGCGACTCCGATGAGAGGCGGAATCCCTATGATGTCCGGACTAGAGTTGGATATCAAATGGAGCACGCCCCACTTAGAGACAGAGTCGTAAGTTTTCTTGCATTTGTCAAAGTTACTTCCATTTGCACCCTAGACCCTAACATATATCTTCTCACGCTTTCAGTCGAGAGAGCTCCTCAGGAGTGTGAATGAAATAGGGCATGCCCTCCAAGCTCCGAGGGGTGGTGAGGACACGGAGAACACGCTCCGCAATGTTTTAGAGGTAAAATTTATTTAGCACTTTGCATTACTTGAGTTATGCCTAACAAACTTCTTTTTTTTTTTGAAATGCAGAAAGTTCGTCAAAGGTGCCGGAAACTTGCAGCAAGATTAGGTTGCAGGTCGGTTGGATTGGACGACGTGTACCAACCGGGGAGACTACCACCACCACTACCTCAATCCGCGCGTCCAAGTACTGCTCGACACTCCATCAGGATAGAAGTGCGTGAAGGAGTTGGTGGCTCGTCGTCGTCACGCATTAAGCAAGGGAGGGGAAAGGGGAAGGCGCCGGCTCCACCTAGCGACGACGATGACGACGAGGACGAGGAGGATGAGGACTACGTCGCATCAGACGCCGAGGAGATAGACATGTCACAGCTTCCCGATGCGCCTCAGGGGACGCAACCCACGCAATACAACTTGCGATCCACTCGGGCAGCGAAAAAGAGGTAAAATGAGCTTACCATTCTCAAATGTTATTTGATTTCCCTTATTTTGTTTTTAAAATGTTTTAAACATTGGATTTTCAAATGTAGGTACACTCCGGGCTCGCAAGCAATTCGGCGCCAACGGAAAAAGTAATTTGTATGAAGTTAATCTATTGATTGGTAGTATGACATATGTGGTGCACTATGTGATATAAAATGTAATGGACTATGTGAGGACTATGTGATGGACTTTTGACATTGTTTCATGTGTGGAATATAGGATGGACTTTTTGCATTGTTTGATGTGTGGGATATGTGATGGACTTTTGGCATTGTTTGATGTGTGGAATATGTGATGGACTATGTGATGGACTTTTGGCATTGTGATTTGTGCAATTGGAACCTGTTTTAGTCTGTACGAATCTGTGAATTGTGATTTGAATTGCGAACTGTGAATTGGTACATTTGTGCAATATGGATCTTCAATTTGCAGGGAGGCAGAGGGCAGCGCCAACCACCCTGGCGCCACGGTTGGGAAGGGCGGCGCCAGCTAGTGCCGCGAGGCAGAAGGGTTTCGGGCTGGGGGAGGGCGGCGCCAGCTACCCTGGCGCCGTGGTCCATGAGGGCGGCGCCAGCCGAGGCCCGGAGGCAGAAGGGCTTCGATGGGGGGGAGGAGGGGGGCGCCAGCCACCCTGGCGCCGCGGTCGGGGGGGGCCGCCAGCCGTTGCCTGGAGGCAGAACAGACTTGGCGAAAATTTTGGGGGGGGAGAAAGTTGGTGGGGCCCGCAGAGGAGGGGCGCGCCAGCCATGCTGGCGCCGTGGTATGAGGGGCGGCGCCACTTTGGCTGGCGCCCCCTTCGGCCTAGTCAGCACCTCCACGACAGCCCTATTGCCACGGTGGCACGGGCACGGCGCCAGTGTGGCTGGCGCCGCCATGTTGGGGTACGGCGCTAGCCACTCTGGCGTCCCAAAAAGGACCATTTCCGGTTTAAGTTTTCTCAGGGGTCTATTTATAAAATAAGTTTTTAAAAAGGACCAAAATATAAAAATTTCAGGGAGGCGCACCGTGCTCAAAGGTCAATAGGACAATAGCATTATTAGGGCTGTGTTTAGTTCCTTCTAAAGTTAAAAGTTTGGGTTGAAATTGGTACGATGTGACTGAAAAGTTATGTGTATATGACAGGTTGATGTGATGGAAAAAGTTGAAAGTTTGGATTCAAAGTTTAGATCTAAACACAGCCTAGGCTTTTCATGCTCCCGGCGAGCCTCTTGCCCTTATAAGAAAATGTGGAAATTAAAAATCCCTCCAAGAGTGAAAGTGTTTGTTTGGCTCACACGATTAGAAATACTTCCTCCGTTTCATAATGTAAGTCATTCTAGCATTTCCCACATTCATATTGATATTAATGAATCTAGATATATGCTAGAATGACTTACATTGTGAAACGGAGGGAGTAGCATTCTGACAAAAGATAATCTGTACAAAAGGGGCTGGAGAAAGGAGAAAAAAATGTCAGTTCTGTGAGAAGGATGAAACTGTTCAACATTTATTCTTTGATTGTCCTCTAGCTCATTTTATTTGGTGTGTGATAGAGTGTGCCCTGGGAGTGAGACCTAATAAGCATATTGACAGTATGTTTGGGCAAAGGAATTTCTTTGGGAATAATACAAAAAATTTAGTCCTAGTGGGTCCTTTAGAAAGCTATGAATAAAGCTTGTTTTGATCACATTTTACCAACTGATCCTATTGAATTGATATTTACCATTTGTTCCACTTTGGGGTCTTGAAGCATTTTGCAGATCAAGGAGGCAGACAGAGAAAAGGTGTTTTGGGGGGCTCAGCTTCTCAAACAGGTAGCAAATGAAGTCTTTCACTCAAGGTTTGGCTGGAGAGGAGCTAATAGACGTTTGGGATGGAGACCTGATGATGACCCAGGATGATGCTGCGATGATTGCTGGCCTTCAGTGCTTTTCTTTCTTGTCTATGCATGGGAGCAATGTCTTGTGATATGTTGGCTGTGATCATTTTGTTGTTTGTTTTGTTTAATCTGTTTCCTGAACCTATAGAACCTTGTATTTCCATCGTTTTCATTAATGAAAGCGGGGAGGTGCGGCCTCTCTTTATCAAAAAAATAAAAAATAAAAAAATAAAAACTCCCAGCGAGCGGGAGAGCGGCTTCCCCACCGTCAAACCGAATGGTGTCTACCACTTTTCCATGATACGAAGGGCGAATCGAGATGGTCATTAGCACTTCATGGGATCGGAGACCATGTGACACTCGACATCTCAAGCTAATAAACTTGATGCATTTTTGTCAGCGTTATGGATACCACATATCTAATAGTAGTTGACTAAATCTCGGCAGGACCCACCACATACCATATCTTATACGAAAAACAACCTTCGGATATAGGAGGAGTTCCGCATAAGGAAGGATAAATAGAGTTCTACATGGAAACGACAAGGACTACTCGGATTGTATCCATATTGGTTTCCCTAGTTCTACTTGGACAAGGAGACACCTATGGGTATAAATACAAGGCCCCTTAAGAGGAGAGGGGACACGGAACAATAGATCAATACACAAGATCAACATATAAGCCTACATACGCCAAGACAAGACACCGGATATCGACTTCAGAGATAAGCATGGCTAGTCCCCTACGGTGTCTACGGATACTGATAGGAGAGACATAACGCTGTCTTTGATCTTGCTGGATGCGGATTCGAGGAGGAAGGCTACCCTGTTGTCGACTACGAGTCAGCACTTCAGACCGCCAAGTCGACAACAGTTAGATAGGCTACCCCAAATATTGTACTAGTGTGATTATGGTGAATAAGAGCAACGACCGGCTTCGGCCAACAGGAGTAGGGTTATTACCTGACAATTCAGGGACCCGAACCTGTATAAAAATCCTCGTCCCCATTTCTTTTATTACAATCTCGCATACATCCTAATACCAACGATCCCCATACTATGCAAATATCGGAATCACGACATCAAACGTCGACAATTTTACCTTGACCTAGAGACGTGTGTCGGAATCCAACTCGGACTTTAGAAGGAATTACATATATATTAATCTTTCAGTAGATTTATAATTTCAAATTTTACAAAATTTTCAACCAATGGATATAGCCATTATAAATTAAATAACCCCCAAATGGATAAATATGTCAAAAACCATAAATCTAGAGAAAAACTGTTGTAGAATATAAGTTTGATGCATTGTAACTGAGTATATATGCACTATACTATGTAATGGAGTATAAGTGTAATGTAACTTAGTGTAAGTGATCCATAATTGAGTATAACTATAAGTTGGATACACAGGAATACGAATCTTTATGCAAGATTCTACGGACGAAAAAGTGATAAGATATGAACCCACAAATCTGTCGCGAGTGAAATTGCAAATCCCTTCTAGATTTGGCACAATAGAATTGATTATTGACACGCGAAATACTTCTCTAAATCTAACGCAGGTCTATGAATCTGACTCGGATTCAAGATGTCTAATTCAGGAAAAAAAGATTTTAGACACATTTAGTTATTCATGGAACAATAGTTTGATTATCTGTACTACTTTAAATATGGAGTTATCCTCTTCCTCCTCCCGAAGTCCCGAAACATCACACTTTCCCCACGTATAAAACAACAAACCAGTGAACCACCTAGTGTTTAAAAAAAACGACTCACGAGAAACTAGATAGAAAAAACTGAACACATAAAACAGTTCATTTTCCTTAGATCCTTGCGTGCGATCTCCCTAGAAAGCACTAAAAAGCACATCGTGCAGTGGATTGCAGTCTTGCACACTAGCTAGCTTTTTCGTAGAAAATTTCCTTCCATGCCCTATTACTCACAAAACGTTATACTAGTACTTTTCATCGAGAAAAATGGCAAAAATGGCTGGAACCTGGAGGGACATTATGTGACAAGCTGAGGGAGGATACCTTCACACTACAGTGTTGCTATTTGGTAGTGCAATTAATCGCTGGGCTGTCACATTAATTTGCCAAGATCAATATATTGGTTAATGCTTACTGATCATACTATAAACTACCCGCATGGCACAAATGCAGCCACAAGATCTCAAGATTAATAAAAACTACTAAAATATTGAAACACTTTCCTCCGTTTTGGCTGTTGAAACCAAATGCTATATATCCAAGCAATCTTGCGACACGGAAATGCAAACATGCAATACAGTACCAAATAGATTTTTTAAGACAAAACTAGTGTTTATTTTTATCTTTCTTGAAATCACTACGGCCAACTCTGGTGAGCTTTTTTTTTTGTGGTATAGGCTCCTAAGTATGGGGAGGTACCAAGGCAGGTGGTAGTCGAAATTATCATAGCATCGTAAAACCATGGGATGGTAGAGGTGATAAGAAGTGATGGGCTAGACCATGCTATATCAGGAAGACGATGATCGACAAACTTGCAGCAAGAGATGTTACATAAGGGCGTAGGGTCACACACATGGTTTACTATTTTTTTGGGATGCATAGACCTGTCCTGGGGGAATCGAAATTCATTTTCTTAGGGGAAAGAGGGGGGAGGGGAGGGGGGAGGATTTCAAATGAAAATTTAGAGGAAAAAAAAAGGCTAGATCTGAACAGATTTTTGTCCATAATTTCAATAAAATCTAAAATTTTCGGCCAGTAGAATATACTACTAGCACCCACCACTAAACTCAAAATTTCAGGAATTTTGAAAATTTAGACCCTAACTTGTAAATCATGATCACAAAGACATTACGTAAAGACCTAGGGCCGCATATATAGGACATATCATTAATTACGTAAGGCGTGAGCGCGATGCACCGACTATGTCTACGCGCATGAATCGACAAATATAGGTTTTTAGACCCTCATCTACCGGTAAACATATCAAAAAAAAATCAACAAAGAAACATAGACAATTGCTTAGCCAAATGTTTGGCGACTCATTCACAGTACTTGAAAGTTGAAACTAAATTAAACCCAGCCAAATGTTTGGCCACATACACAATGCTTGCGATCGAACTAAACCCAGCCACAGATCGATGTTTGGCAACTTAAATTACAATGCAATGTTTGCAATGTAGTTAAACTCAAAAGTTCGGAACGATTTTGGTATGGTATACTGGAGCCATGAAGCAACTAATTAAGCAAAGCATCCTCTTGGATCATAATGGCATCCAGATTGAGCTTACCGACCTTAGGAGTATTTGGGGAAGACCCAGCCACGGCGAGCCCAGCCTGCCGTCGGCGAGCCTCGCATGTCGTCGTCGGGGAAGATGTCCTCGTCGGGGCAAGCCCACTCGGTCGTGTCGTCGTTGAAGTTCACCACCCTGACGAGCCCGTCGGGGTGGCCCTGCTGCTCGACGCTGTAGATGCAGTTGGGCTGGCACGCCGGGAACTCCTCCGGCGAGAGCGAGAAGGCGTGGTTCCGCCCCACGAACAGGGCGTAGCCGCCGAGGTCCTCCATGCGCACCAGCCGCGCCGCGCCGCTCTCCAGCCACTCCACCCTGTGCACGTCCACCCACCGCTCGTCGTCGTGGCTGCGGGGCTTGCGGCCGACGGCGGATTCCGGGCTCGGCTTCTTGTACGCCACCTCGTCGTGCATCGACACGACCAGCAGCTCGCCGCCGCAGTCCACCAGGTGGGTCTCGACGAGGCACTTGAGCGGGTAATCCTCGTCGCCCAACCCGGCGAGGGTGTCGGCGCAGTCGTCGTCGTCGTCGTCGTCGTCGTCGCTGTTCGAGGTCTCGTGGTCGAGGTTGAGGTCGATGTCGAAGACGTCCGCGTCTTCGTCGTCGTCGTCGTGGGCTATCTCGATCTTAATGGCGGCGGGGGTGGCGACGTCAACCTCGAGCACGCTGATCTCCGACTTGAATGCCACGTAGAACCGCCCCCTGAAGTGCTCGACGCCGGCGTAGCCGGAGGAGTAGTTGAACCTGATGGGCTTCCAGTCGTTGGTGGCGGAGCTGTAGTACGCGAGGCAGTTCGCCGGGAAGCCGACGGCCACCGCGGACCACGCCTCCGCCGTGTCCGGGTCAGCCGACAGCACAATGGTGGCCACGTCGTGCCACTTCTTGAAGAACCCGATCGGCGGCAGCGGGATCCGGCGGCCGGTGACGGGGTTGAAGAGGGTGATCACCCTAGGGTTACCCGTGGGGTTGGAGAGCGCGAGGTAGCCACGGGAGGAGGACAGGTACTCAGATCCGGCGGGCACGTCGACGGCGAACGGCACGAGGCCGCGCTGCCCGAGGGAGAGCCAGAACGACGACATGGTGGCGCCGCTCAGGCCGGTCCAGTCGTCGGCGCGGGACCCGACGAGCCATGGCCGCGACGGCAGCCTGGCGGCGGCGGCCCCCCACCCCTTGCACACGGCGCCGAACCGGGCGCGCTCGCGGTCACCGGCGAGGCGCCTGAGCACGGAGGACATGAGATCCGCCGGGAGCGACGCCCAGTCGCTGCCCCCTCCGCCGGCGCGGCGGACGCGACGAGGCCGCGGCGACGCGACCTGTGACACCATGGTTGCTCTCCTCTCCTCTCGCTTTCTTGTCCCAAATTTTTTTTTCCCCACTTGGGGGAGATTTGCTAGTACAATCTGAACTGAAGCGAAGGATGGGTAGAAAGCGAGGGGTGGGTATATATAGTCGGGGGCCCAGCAGTGGTAGAGTGACGATAGTTGACTGCCTGAGTGACGTCACTGATGTCGACATATGATAGGCATACAGCCTTCCAGGGGGACATTCATGGAGCATCGCTGGTTTCTGGCTTTCATTTTTGTTGGTATATGCGATGGGCTGCTGCATTCATGGTTAGGGATGCTGGTGTATTTATGTGTAGAGATTTGTGGTGGTGTGTGATTCAGATTTGTTTTTGAGTGTTCATCTGAGCTCATTAGACCAGTTTTAGAACGTTGGAGCATTTTATACAGAGCAACTGCATAGGCAACGTTTTTTTTCCCACTTGTTTAGTGAAGTTTATAGATGTTGGATGGAAGATGAACGGGTTGGATCTATCTTTATCTATCAATATATAATGTATCACCACCGTAAAAGATTTCCCGTGCTTTTTAAACGATATAAACCTATCTCCAAGTAACGCCAACCAGACCTGCCAACTTCCGTAATCGACGTGCACATGTACGCCACGTGTCGTCAACCCCCTTTGCATATCTCTTGCCTATCCCTTGCCACCCACCTTTTCTCTAAGTCTTACATTTCACCGTGATTAACTCCCTCCTCTTCATCATGAATACAAGGTTGCACCACATGCCCCCTAAATCCCACTTTTAAGGTGGCATTACCACTCCAGCTGTCATCCTTTGCGCCCACCCATCCGATATCCTAATCTGATCATATGTAGTTGCAAATGGTAAATCCATACATCTAATGAGTTTTTTAGAACTTGGGAGAAACCTGCTATGACTAACTGCTAGTGATGTGGCATATCTACTCTTTTGTTGTGTGCTAAAAAGCTCAGGTGGTTGCCTTGGATTATGAAGCCCTAGATCCGCCAGTAGTCGTTTGAGGTTTGAGCCCACCAAAGACAAAGAAGTGGAGCATGAATCTCCACATACATCTAAAGATGTTCGGTTGTCTTTATAAAATTATTAATAATATATAATACCTAGAAAATTCCTTTGGCATAATAAAAAAAACATATGCAACTTTCATGTTTCAAATAAGCTCTTGCGTTCCCTAATAAGTTGAGCTTGTGCATTTTGATGGTGGGGAACTAATCCTATACCTTAATACCAAACTTTGGTAGCGTCATATATTTCAAAATTGGAAGGACAATAATTGTTCATGGAATCATTTTAGACAAAATTGCATTTTAATAATAACATTCCTATATAATTTCACAGTTCGAATAGAGCAAAAGTAGTATCCATAGGTTCATATTACTGAGATGTGTTAAGCTTGAACTATGTTTGATTTAGTGTTTGTTGAAGTGGATGAATTCATGGTATGATTGCCTCTTCCACGACTATGTTGGTTGAGTTTGGAACACTAGTAATAATTATATGGTGGTGTTTTTTGAATAAAGGTAAAGACGAAATTAGGTCGCACAGTAAGAAAATAATTAGTACACGATTAATTAAATTTTAATTATTTTTAAACTTAAAATATGATTTATTTAATATTTTAAAGTAACTTCTATATATTCTATATAAAAAAATATTTCTACACGAAACATGTCGTTTAAAGTTTAAAAAACATGCCAACGAAAATCTTAAGCATCCAGCAACCAAATTTTTGCTATGGCCAAGCTGAACCAATCACCCCTCATATGTTGGCTCCAGTCCAAGATCTTTATCTAGTGGCATATTCTTTTTTCTTTTCTTCTTTATTGCCCAGTAGCATATTAGAAAATCTAGGAAGAGTGAACAGAAATGCTCTGAACTGGAGTCTTCCAGATTCTGGAAGCAAATATCAGACACTGGAGGGACCTCATCGCAAAAGGCGACAAACCTACCTAAAGGCAACTCTTTTTCCTTCCCCACTCCGGGCGTCTCGCCGCCGACCACAGCCCTCCCCCCCAAACCCTAGCCCTCCCGCCGCCATGGCCGACCCGCGGCTGTTCCCGTCGGGATCCAACTCCTCCGGCGACGCCTCCGGCCCCGGCCGCCGGAAGTACAACCCCTACCACGACCTCAGCACCCCCTACAGCTACCAGACCCTCTACGACCTCCCCACCTCGCCGGAGTTCCTCTTCCAGGAGGAGTCCGCGGCGCAGCGCCGCTCGTGGGGGGAGAACCTCACCTACTACACGGGCGTCGGGTACCTCTCCGGCGCCGTCGCCGGCGCCGCCCTCGGCCTCCGCGACGCCGCCGCGGGCGCGGAGCCCGGGGACACCGCCAAGATCCGCGCCAACCGCGTCCTCAACTCCTGCGGCGGCGGCGGCCGCCGGCTCGGCAACAGGCTGGGCGTCATCGGGCTGATGTACGCCGGGATGGAGAGCGCCATGGTCGCCGCGCGCGACCGCGACGACTGGGTCAACAGCGTCGCGGCGGGGCTCGGCACCGGCGCGCTCTTCCGCGCGGCGAACGGGCCGCGGTCCGCCGCCGTCGCTGGCGCCATCGGAGGGGTCCTCGCCGGCGCCGCCATGGCCGGCAAGCAGCTCGCCAAGCGATATGTGCCTGCCATATGAGGCTTCGCCGCGGTATCCCTTGTTCACTCTGATCAAAGGATCGAATCAATCAATCCGTCGAAAAAAAAAATGGTCTTCTGTTTGTTTGTCTGATCTCCAGGTTAGCTCATCGATTTGGGAATGGTTTAGCCATCTCGAGAAAAAAAATATGTGATGTTTAGTCGTATGTGGATGGTTTGAATGGAAAATTTTGACCTCTCCTTGCAATGTTGTAACATCATGTTTAATGTATAACTGCATACATTTTGCTGATGTTGCTGAGCGATGAGAAGATGATCCAAGAGTTTGTGGCAATCCGAGTTATGAAAAAGAATCGTGTTGACACCTATTTGCAGATCTGTTCTTGATCGTTATACCTATTGTTCATGATCGTTGCAACCAGTGTGCTTATTCACGTTACACGGTAAATGGGGATTGGATGCATTTTGGTTTCTTGGCACTCAGCTTAGAGCCTTAGATCTTGTTTTGTATAATTATCGTTGTTCAACTGTTCTCAATTCAATGGTCACTTGGAAATTGGAATGTTGTTTGCTCGGCAAGCTTTTGGACTTATCATTCTGTGGTTGATTATGGACGGAATGAGAACTTCACAACCCTGGCTCTTCTGTTGGCCTGTAAGATCAACAACTACTCCAATTTATCACTGTACTGTGGTGACCCTGTGACAGACGACAGTTTGAATAGAATGGTAAAGGAACATTTTGTTTGTCCATAAAGAAACCTATAACTGGCTTTTGTATCGAAATATCTTGGACATTTGAAGGTACTGGACGAGGTTGTGCCTGCAAGGTTGCAAGCTTCAACCGAAAGAGCGAGTTCACCAATAATTTCATTTTCAACGAAACAGATTCAATCATCGTATACGAAACATTAGGAACAATCACCAAATTTGTTACACTACTCAATATGTTTTGCATCCAAAATGGTTAAGCATCGATCATCACACTCGAGAAGAAAGTGGAAAAGAATGGGAAGGAGACCTATGCAAGGCGTTACTATGCCGCCTGTAGCTCAATATTTTCTGGACCGTGTACTCTCTCCTGACAAAAATGAATTGAGACTACCTACAAGCAAACTAAACTACTACTAGTACGTTTCATTCCAGCCTGCTATTTTCCAGCTTATTCAGCAGCCAGTGGAAAGCGGCTCAAGTTGGATGGCAATTTTCATGTCCAATTCACATCTATTGTCTTGTCTTCTATGGGTTTAACGGCTCATCTTCCCCAGTCATCTCTACAGCTTCTGAAGGAAATTTACCCATAATTAGCACTTTCAAAACAGAATCTGCATCTGATTATAAGAAGATTGCATTTATTTGTGTTGAAAATCATAGTGGGGAACATACTTGTTGATCTGTGGAGATCAGAGACAACCATCAGCCGCCTCTGCAAGATTGCTGCCATGAAAAGGAAAATAGCACACATGCCAAACATGACAGTGATGGGGAATGCATTCACCTGCAGAACATCATTTGTATGATTAATGTTACTGGGACAAATGTCTTTTTTTTTTGCATTTGCATTTGCTTGTTGGTGTGTTATTTTCATAAAGAAAAAAAAACAGAAGTTGGATTTAGCTACTTACATTGTAAAGAACCACACAAACAAACAGGTTGAGTGGTATGCGGAAGAAGTTCATGATCGTGCTTCTTGCCTCCTCAGGAATATACTGGGACCTCATCTTCATGATTGATGGCCAGAAAATGCCAACACAGGATTCAAATATACAGAAACCGAGCAGCTGTAGACAGCCTCCAAATGAGATGCCACCACCTTTGACCGAGGAGGGAGGTACTAGGAACTATTTAACAAAAACAGATTGTGTTAAACTTTCGAACTATAAAGTGAAAACATTGAGAATAAACTGAGTGCAGCAGACTTACGTTAGTGACAACAGGGAGGAAAAGAGTAAAAGCTGATATCGAAAACACAATCTGCATATAACCTTCAACCTTCAGCTTCCGAGCTAACAAACGAGAGGCAATTGAGCTACCCAACATAGAGGAGAGCATGAATGTGGCAAATATGAAGCCATGAGGAATTTCTTCATCATTTGGGCTCAAAGCAGGAGTCCACAGGAAAACAAAAGTGTACATTGAACCCTCAAACAGTGACTGTATAGCTCCAAGCAATGCAATCTTTTCATCTGAAATTTCAAAAGAAACCATTTGATATGTTAAAATAAAAAAAAATATTTAAAAAAACATTATGCCCTTTGCTATGGTGGACATGATAAATCTACCTGAAGCAATGGCTTTGGCTGCAACCTTGAATTGGGCTATCAGATCCTTGTTATCAGATGTATCTCCATAGTTCTCACTCCATGATGATAAGATGATTGCCATGCCTATTGCTAAAAAGCAAGCAGCAGCATCAAATGGAGCAACAGGCCCAAAACCCAAGTTATCTGCAAGCAGATTTGCAAATAGCCCAGCGATGATCGCAACTAGGCCATTTCCAAGAAATATAGCCTTGGAGAATGTTATCGACAACCACTGTGGGTCAAATCCTCTCTGTACAGCAAGGTAGATTTGCAGTGTCAACAGATAATCAAGGGAATTCCCAAAAGATTTGAATAAAAGATTGCTGTAACTAGTTAATCAGTTTCGTAGAATTAACAATCTTGTCATACACAAAATAGAACAATGTATGTATGTAGACATGCAGTTGAATACAACGGACATCTAATTATATTTGCATTTATCAATCGATTTCTAGTTTCTACAACAAATGGCTCACTTTCTCAGTCAGGGTCATCCTGGAACTTTTATTGAACAGGGCCTATTAAGTATTAACTGGGGCTGTTCTGAGTTCCTACAATGTCATTTTAATACTAGATCCACCAGAACTTTAAAAAGCATATAAAAATAGTTGGAGTACTGATAGGAAGACCGCAAGATAATCAGTGGCAAGAGTTAGCATTACAGCAAACCATAGTTCCTGATATAGATAGTATGTTTATTGTGAGTTGTACACTTGTACTTCACAGTCGACAAAGCTATCATAAATGAGATCTTATTCAGATCTCTTTAATTTTATATACCTCAAAGTCATTTTATATGTAAATCATTGTATACTAGCAGTCAAACTACCATAATCCCTGTCATGTTGACTTCACAGTTCACACGTTTTGTACCCATTTTTTAGCAGAAGCACACACTTTACAAAAACAAAATCATTCCAAAGATGTAGCTTCAAAAATACCAGCGAGTTCTAATGAGCAAAAGAAGAACTCGTTAAGATCAAGGTTAAACCCTGGTCACCACCAATTTACCACCACGGGCACACGGATCTGACCTTGTTGTGCTCCGCGACGAGCCACGACTCGAACGCCGAGAAGAGCAGCGATGTGGCGATGCCTCCGAGCACGCGCCCAATCATCAGGATCTTGTACTCAGGCGAGTGCTTCGTGATGCAGCTCAGGATGTAGCTGATGCAGTAGGTAATGCACGCCCTCTTCCTCCCCCTACGACAACCAGGAAGCATCACAACCTCATCAAAAAAAAAATCCAAACAAACACAACAAAATCAACGAGTAAAACACGGGACACGCACTGCTTATCGGCGAGGGATCCGACGATGGTGCCGAAGAGCATCGAGGAGCCGAAGCCGGCGATGAAGAGGCGGCCAATGTCACCCTTGTCGAAGCCGTACTGGCTGTAGAGGTAGTACACGTACGGCCCCTGCAGCCAATCCCCAGCTGCAAAAACCCACACCCACACCCGCGATTCACCACGGCAACAGCGTCAGAAACCCTCCCAAACAATCCGGCATTGCAACCCGGCTCAGATCTGAGCGATCCAGCCACCACGCCGCAGGGGAACTCGAAGATTGGGGGAAAGGGGGGGGAAATCTGGGGGCGGGGGGAGGCGTTACGCACACATCATGAGCGAGTAGACGAGGATGTAGTTGTTCTTGAACGCGTTGAAGGCCGGGGTGGTGGCGACGCGGTCCTTGCCGGACTTGCCGAGCTCCAGCCCCGCCACGACGGCGGCGAGCCCGCCGAAGACGAGGTAGTAGAACACCTCCATGGCGGAGGCGGAGGCGGAGGCGCGTAGAGGTGGGGAAGAGAGAGAGAGAGATCGCGAGGTGAAGTGGGAGAGAGAAAGAGTGGGTTTGGTTGGGGATCTGGATTAAATTAAGGGTTGCACGGGCGTGCTGTAGCCGTCGGATTTCAGGGGGCTGCGGAGATCCTGCGGCTGTGCTGCCCGCGAGCCGGACGGTTCAGAAATCAGAAACATATCAGATTTTTTAAAAAAAAATTGCATACATATCATAAAATTTTGTTAAATTCAAATTCAAAAGGTATTACAGAATGTTTCAAGGGCACCACGAGAAACACCAAAACGACGTGTTTACAATGGAGGATCTAGTTGTAGCACGAAGCCCACGAAATGAAAGGGTCATGACTGGGCCGTCTAAGCCCACAGAGCCCAACATTGGCCTTTGTATAATACACAGGATTTTTGTGATAGTATTACTGTACTTACTGCATGAGAAGCGTAAGAGAAGGGAACATTTTACGTGTGCTTTTCATGAGAAGCCGAAGAGATGGGAACATTTTGCGTGTCCTTTTCATGCAATTTTGTTCGCCTAACACTTCACTTACGTAGAGATGCTTGAGAGATGAACCTATAATTGGTAAGTGTATATATATAAACCCTGCGAGATGGGTATATCATTATGGTAGATGTAGAATGAAGCAGCAAGTGACATATTGGAGGATAACCAAACAATCACCACGTTTTATTAAGTTGGATTGGTAGCCATGCTAGTAATCGTCACATTAGTTTGAAGTTTGTTGATAGCAGCGCAAGACATGCAACGACTCGCTATAGTTCCAATAATAGTGGTAATAAAAAGCTGGTGTAATCTCGTTTTTTACCATAATGGTTTCAGCTATGATCATAGAGGAAAAACACAGAAGTAGACCAAAAGTCCGGAGATTGATTTTTATCCCTCGAGAGAATATCCCCTCGTTTTATGCATATTATTTAAAATTAATTAATTTTTTTAAAAAAAGTTTCAAGATAGATTAATATATGATATATCTTTCCACACACATATATGTTAAAATTCGACTTATACAATTCGAAACAAAATAATAAATTTGATCATGAATTACGCATTCTATTCATAGTCAAAACTGTTATTTTTGTTTTTATTTGTATATAAGTTGACTTTGTCGGGTCGGCCGAAGGAACCGGTGACCAAATTTCATTGAGTAATTGGAGGAAATATACAAATAGTTGTGGCTTAATAAGTTGACTTTGAACATGCATGTTGATATATCTTACTATTTTTTAACTTTTTTATGACCTTTTAAACGATATGCAAAAATAAAAGGATATCCGTAATAGATGAATAATAGAGTTCCCA